TGATTTAGAGGATATGACTACAAAGTAATGAGTTTAAACAGAAAATAAAGTTGTGAGTCTTTTTTTTTCTTTTTTACAAACACACAGAGCTTATGAGTTATCCAAGAATATCAATTTCTTTAATTTATTATATAATTGTTTTACTACAGGCTCATTATCCACTTAACCAATATTACTGTTGAGTAACAGAAAATGGGTAGAGATATATGTTTCTCCATAAGTAGTTAAGATAGATATCTTTTAAATAAATGTAGTCAAATTTCCAAATCCACAAAAATGAATGCTGTTTCTCATAAGCAATTTCCACAATGTTCCTGGTGCTTGGCTCTTATTTGGTAATTTCTCTTCAGTTCAAAGACATTTATTGAGCACCCTCTCGGCAGCAGGCTCTGTTCTGAGAGTTTATCTCTAGAGAAGAGATACGATAATAAACAAAATGCAGATGGAGGCAGGTCAAGAATGACCAATGATGACAAATATGGAGAAGAGATGTGCAGTGAACAGAGGTAGGAAGCATTGACAGGAGGGACCTTTGAAGGAAGCAGGTAACCTTTGAAGGAAGAAAATGGCAGGAACAAGAGTCTTGTGGGCAGAGGGAACATCAACTTAAGGCCTTAGGAGGGAGGGAGAGCAGGCAGGGAGTTAAAAAGGAAGAAAGCAAAAATCTAATCAACTAAAACTAGCAGTATAACAGGGTGGTCCCCAGGAAAGGGGGAAGTTTCAGATTTCCTGCCCCACCCAAAGGAGGGTGGAGCTGAGCAGGGAGAGAAGCTGCAGAGGAGACTGAGGGAAAAAGGAAGCAGGATGGAGAGCCAGAAGGAGACCTGGAGGAGGCACATGTTGCCGAGAGATACGTGAAGAAACTGCGCTTGCCTTTTGGTCTTGGACTGGGTGACTCAGATGTGGGTGAGACCTGTGGGGAGGTGACAATGGCAGCTTTTACCTTGATTTTGATTTTGCTCTTTTCCTCCCAGATTTGTCTGGTTGTTTCTGATCCTTTTCTGTGGGTCCCCACTGAAAGGTGCTTTAGAGTTGTGGCAGGCTTTTGGGGCCTTGCTCTGGGCCAATCCCGTTTGGGTGGACTTTTACCCATGAGGGGACAGGTAACTTTGGGTGCTTGATTTAGAAACTGGATTATTTGCCTTTCCTGTATTGTTTCCAAATTGTATTAAAGTTCCTTTTCATTAAAGTTGTTACAGGGCAACCCCGATATAAAACGGGTTGCCTGACTGTGGGTCCTCACCTGCGCACTTAAAAGAGACTTATTAATATTCAACTGCAGGCACACACAAAAGGTTAATAAAAGATTTATTTACAAGGGAAGGGAAATGAGGAAATGTACAATTCAGGGAGAAAAGAGGGAAATAAAGTCTTATATGCGTCCTACCCATTCCGTCGACCAGGAATCCCAATGGCACACTGAGAGCTGGTGAAAAGCCAAGAGCCAGGAGGCCAAGAGAGAGACCCAAGGCCCACATGTCTGGATTTATACCAAACCTGGCAGCTTAACTCCACCCTCAGGTCCCAGCAACCCTCCCTTTGGTGATGATGGGATTTGTGTCCTGATGGCTTTGGTCTGGAGTGGGGGTGGAGTCCACAAAGCCTGTATGGAATTAGCTCAGGACAGCCTTTCCCCCCTAACAAAGTCTCATATGTTTTGTGTTGATGTGGGGGATGCCAGAACCTATTTAGAGCAGGCAGGTTTGCGGGGTCTGGGGTGCCCCTCTCCCTGCCCTGTAACAGCAGCTGAACTCAGACTGACAACTACAAAGCTCTACTTCTTTCCTGCTCTCACTGTTCACCAGACAGGCCAGGAGACTAGCACATCCAAATGGGGTGAAAATATGATTGAAGGAGGCCCTGAGGCAAACTCCAGAAACAGTATCTGAGAAGCCAGACTTTACAGCAACAAGGGTTGGGGTGAGTTGCCATTTTTCAGAGATTTTGAGCTGATCATAAACGTAAGAGACTTTTTTACAAAAGTTTAAGCTCAATACTTTGGATCTGCAGTGACAGAAATAATAGTAACTGTGGAGAAGACAGATCTGTGCTATGAGCCCCATGCATCCTCGCTACACTTGCAAATGACAAGTCTGCAAATGACAAGTCCTTGCCAAATACTGAAATGGAAATGGTCCTGGGGACATGACTTCCTCAGAGTTCCCAACAGGGTGAAGCCATCCCCAAAGCTTCCTCTGGGCCAGCTCCAAAGCTGGTGTTCTTTCTTCCAGACAGGTAACATGGCCAATAGCATGTGGTCTGGTGCCAGCCTGGCTGGGTTCAAATCCTGACCCTGCCTTCCCTGTAGCTGCTTGGTCTGGGCAAGTTCCTTAAACCTCACTATTCCTCAGTTTCCTCAATTGTCAGATGAAGAGAATAATACTAGCTACCTCACAGGGTTATTACTGTAAGTATTAAATGAATCAATCTCTATAGAGAACTTACAATGGTGTTTTACCCACAGTAAGCACTCTGGTAATTAACAATGTCATTGCTGAGTCACATTACGCAACAGGAATACAGAATTATTACTTACCATTCATGATGATCAACATGTCTCTGAATACAGTGGGGAAGGACTAGTGTTCTCACTAGTTTTGTTTTTGTTTGTTTGTGAGGGGGAGTTTTGTCTGCTCATAAGGTTAGCAGACTCTGGGCAACATCACAAACTATGCAAATGATAAAGATCCCATTAACTTACGAGCAAGCAGGCCAATCAGTTTGAGAAAACCTGAGATTATTAATAGCCTTGTGCAAACACAGTGTTTATTATACCTCATGGGTTTTTTTTTTTTTTTAAACGAGTTACTATACTGTGTGTGTCTCCAACGTGGCGCCAGAGCCAGGATCAGTACTAAGGGGATTGTATGCTGTAAAGTTCTGCACAACAGGAGCACAGTATAACTATTTTTTTTCAGTAGCACTTTTTGCAAGTCTAATTTAGCAGACAGTCAGTTTTTTTGGCTGACCTCTTTTTCTTTTACACACCCTTGGGCAATATGCAAAATGAAAGCTGAACTGAGTGTGTGCTTGTGTGTGTGTTTGCACACATGCGTGTGCATGTGTTTGAGATTAGGAAAAAAGGGGTAATTTTCATTGACCCCATTAGCGCTGCGGTCCTACATCGATAGGAATCTTGCTTTCAATTTGCAGCATTAGACACCCTTCCAAAAAAAAGCCCTACTCCAACCACCTCAAATTTTCACTGTTAAGTCTTAGGGGCATATATATATATATATATATATATATATATATATATATATATAGAAGTTTTTTGCAGAGATTTATACACACACATATATGCTGCGATGAAACAGATAAATGTATGTTCATTAAAGTGGCTACTGATTCACTCCTCCTGCACAAAAATCTTTTTACTTATTTTGCTCCACAAACATCCATTTACCCTCTCATCCTCAAAACTGAAAATTCATTTAATATGTATTCTGCAACTTGAAGCCAAAAGTAAATGGATATGAATGACTTAGGGTTCAGTCACTGTTTTGTATATCAACTGATCTCCAAAAATGAGATTTCATCACATTAGATAAAATAGTTACTGACTAAATGTGGATTCAAGAGGGCATTAAAATCCAAGTACTAAGGAAAGAGGTCAGAGAAAACAGGAGGACAGACTTTATTTTATTCTCATTCACTGAAGTTCTGAGAGCATATTCTGCAGAGGGGGGCGTTCCCTTTCAAGGCAAATGTAACTTCAACTACAACTATTGTGGTTTCTCTTTTTATGGTGAGGCCCACATTTTCATAATAAATACAAACAAAATTATTATCCAAATTATCAAAAATTCCAAATTTTTAGACTTCAGAACAATTGGAAGTTTCCACATCCAAATGTCAATTTCTTTCCCTCAAGGAAAAGTCATGTTCTCATACACACCTACCCCTTACATACCTCTAACTTTACTCAGGGTCTATTCTTGACCCTCTTTAGTTTTGCTCTTCACATTCCCTGGAAGGCAGCCTTCTATCTGTCTCTCCTCACCTCCCTGGACTGAGACCATCTACCTGATACTTCAAGAAGACCCTGCCTTTGAACAGGCCATTCCTTCAACGAAGAATAACCAGCCCTCTTCACTTCTGAAAGTCCTGCTTCAGCATCTGCTCCCTGGTTATATCTTCCCAACTCTGCCCTCTGTGCTTACACACATTGTAAAACACTATGACACATTCACATTACTTATTTACAGGCCAGCCTCCCTCATCAGACACAGGACTTTTAAAGCAGTTTTCAAGTGCATAAAATCATCAAGAGCTTGTCAAAAATGTGGGTTCCAATTTGGTAAGTCAAACCTAGGACCTGAGATGGTGCATTTCTCACAACTTCCAGGTAATGATGATGCCACTGCCCTGTAAATTCCACCTGAGTAGTAAGCTTTTAAGAACATCTCTGAAATCTCAGTAACCTTGGCATGTCACCATCACCATCACTATTACCAACCATCATTACCACCATCATCATCTTTTCACACAGATGCCCAGCAAAATGGATTTAAGGAGATGAGAGATCAGGACTTCCAAAATAAAGGTGATTGGAGGGAGTGGGCAGAATCAAAGGGGAAAAAAAAGTAAGATGAAGTTAGTAAAGAGACAGGAGTTGTGAAGGGGGTGTGTGGATATTTTAAAAAGACACAGAAGATAATAGGAAGATGAGAGAAGAGAAAAGGAAGGCCAATTGACTTCTCTCATCTGTTAGGCTGGAGTCCTAATTATCTGACTGTCCAGATTAGAGGGTGAACTGCCCACCCATGCATGCCATTGAAGACCCAAATCCAGGGGTTCACCACTTCATTCTAAAAGGTCTTCCCTCCTGAGTGATGGATGAATGAGCTCTCAGTGTGAGAGTAATAACAGAGGGCCTGGATCCTCATTGAGTGTAGAGAATGGTTTATATCAGCTTAGAAAATTCTAAGACAGCAGAAAGTCTTTTACTCTAAGAACTTAAACTGATTATCCATTAAAACAACCCAAAAAGAAGTTACCTGATACAGTTCGATCCGTTGTTCAGGCACCCTGGCTTTTGGGTTTTGTAAACGGAAGACTCTGAACTCTGCTTTCACCAAATTGGAAGCATTCTTCTCCATTGCTGAGACGTCAAATCGGACAATTCTGAAGTAGGGTCTGTATAAAGTGGGCGGGATGGCATCTGTAAAAAGTTAGGGCAATCATTGAGAATGATCGAATTCATTGTATTCTCAAAAAAGACCGCGCAGCACGAGATAGGCTCAGGAAACCATAAGGGAAACATCTACAGAACGATTTTGTTTCCAATGGCCAATTTAATACCATTAACAATTTAACCAGAAAAGAAAAATAAACATGTGCATTTGGTTATAGGAGCAGCAGATTAATAGAGATTAACAAACCACTTCCAACTCTGCGGAGGGCATGCAGTTAACCCTATCCTTTGAAAGTTGACAGAGTGGTGGAAAATCCTAGATGGTTATGAATTGGAACAAGTTCATGACAGTTGATGCCTGGAGAGCACTGTCGGGCTTGTATACACTTTAATCAGATGTGCCAAGAAAATAGCTCCTAATGGCAAGCAGTTTGCCCATGTATTTTTTTTCCTTGAAATGTTGGCGTCCAGATACTTTCTGCTGTCCAGGTTCACATATTGCATCCTTTCTGGCTTCAATATCTTGGTTTTTTACACCAATGTGACCAAATACATCCTACCTAAGCTAGGCTGAGGAAATTTGAATTTAAAAACAAAAAACCATACCCACATACTGGCTAAACCAGGTCAGTCTTAAATTCTTTATTCTGAATAAATGCCCACTGCAGGGAGGGAATGTCAACTAATGAACAGAACAGATGAGCCCAAATGTTCTCTGAGCTGAACCATGTGGAATACAGAGATGCAGACAGCACCAATAATATCACAACATGCCTTGCTGGAGTTTTATTGTTATTTTTAATAAACAATGACGGTAACCTGTCATTGTCTTTGAATGTGCAACTGAGGCTGCATCAGAACAAAACAGGTGTGATTTTCTCTCCACACTTCACCTATAACACCAACTCACTAAGCCATGTGTCCACAATTTACATCCAAAATCTCCTGCAAACTTACTCTCCTAATGACTCATTCAAATCTACTGCCTCCACTCCTCTTCCCTCTCCTTAGTTCCATAGCTTTGTGACAACATGATCACTCACAGTTGATGATTTCTATTACTTCTGCATTAGGTTTATTCGTTTTGCTTTCCCCGAACCCCACCCACCCCCATCAACACCCCCATGAAATGTCAAGAACCTCATGGACAGACTATATTGGCCTGTTATTTCATGTTCTCCACATACCACGACAGGGCTCTGTACCCCAAAGTCACTGTTTGAGCCAATGGTCATTCCCAGGAATCTCAAGAGACTTGAGCAGCCAGTGATTGGCCAGACTAGCTTATTAATAAATGAGTCTATCTTGTCAATATTAAAATGGAAATAAATACCTTTTGTGACTTCTTGGGAAATTCATTCCCTGACAATTCTAATGGGAAAAAAATACTAGGGATACACTGAACTTCCTCACCTTAAGAGCTCTGCATTTCCTCCCCCCTTGGGAGATTTTCCCCACCCACCCCCATTCTATGTCCTTATGGGGCTCAGAAGGCAGCTCCAGGGGAAGGATGAACTCCAAACCATCCTCTCTGTTCCATGGCTGCTTCCTAAAATGACTATAAATTGAGACTTTATAGAGCGTGAGCTAGATGTCTCAGAAACAAACAGAAAAACCCCCAAACCGAAAGCATCCAGATTTTGAACAAAAGATCCATGCAGACACAGTGATTCAGGCACCCTGTACTATCATGTCAAGATAGTTGGGGGTCAGTTTTCAGGAGGATAAACATCAGTACCCACAGAAAGGTTTAGGGAGCTCCCCAGCATAGAAAGTTATTTGCAAAGGTAACTGCTGAGAAGAAATTGATCCTCATCTCTCTCTCCTGCAACATGGCCACCCCAGCTCAGTGAACAAGCTGGCAGACCCTGACCAGTCCAGCTGACAGCAGGCTGGATACCCAGGTGGAGATAACTGGACAGGGCTGTGGCCAGGCTCTAGACTTCACACACCCTCTGTTCAGCTAGAACCTTCCACAGGCCATAGGCTGGATGGCCCTATGCAAGGCCTTCCTAGAGACAACAGAAGCTTGCAACTTGCTTTGAAAGAGCATGCTGAAAGAACAAAGCTAAGTCAGTGAGCTTCCTGAAACCAGTGAGAGTAAACATCTCTTTCATTTCCCCATTCCGTTGAGTGGGACCCACACTGGCCTATTCCACGTCCGCAAACACCCATCTTTCACACCCACCCGCCCGGATCTTATCCTTCCATCAAGTTTGTAAATAAGTGCTCTTGAGATTTATTTTTATTCCCCTTTGTGTTTATTAAACTTGGGACTTTTTCCCCTTTCTGGGCTCCTGCCACATGCACACACGCTTTCTTTTTATGGCTGCTTTGGAGCATGAGGTCAATCTTGTTTCTTCTTCTAAGCAATGATCCTGTCCTGGGCTTGTGAGCTCTGAGGGGGCATTTGCAAATATTTACAGGAGGAGCTGGATATTAAGTGCAATTGGTCTGCTCTGCACTATACTGAGGCAAGCCGCCTTCTGCCCCTCTGGCTGCTATAACCATTTCAGCTGTTTATATTTCAACTGCCTGATAACACAGATCTGGATTGTGGGCTCTTGTTTCATAAGGAGAAGCAGTTAAAGCATGAGGTAAAATGACAGCAGAGCGGCCCCCACTAAAGTGACACGGCTTTAGTCTTGGAACCACAGGGAAGAGACCAGGCCAGGAGGACACAGCAAGTCTCCCACCACCTGCCCCAGTCACACGAGAGCAGATGCTTTATGGAGATGGAAGTGACCACTACTTCCAGGCTGGCCCCAGCTGCCCCTGTGGACATTGGATATGGGTCACCAGCCCCCTGCCTGGCTGAAGAACTTGAGTGATTTGTAAAATATTTCTGCATTTGGTGAAAAAAAAAAATGCAGAAAATTGTCCCTGCCATTACCTCATGAAAGCTTTTAGATGCAAGTTGTGGGAACCGGAAGTGATCCATTTACACCAGTGAGTGGAGTCCCAGTGGACTGATTTCACCACAGGTCTCAGCAGCCAGAGTGCCGGGGCCGGTGTCTCACTGCCTGAAAAGCCTTGATTCATGCATACAGCCTGGAAGGAAGGCGCTTTTTCTCTGCTTTCTCTAAGAACTCACTTGCTCCTCTGGAACAGGGTCCCCCCATTTCATTCTGGTCCCCTCTTCCCCTGCCAGGTGGTCAGGTCCTTGTGCTCACTTTGCCCGCTTACCCACACTCACATCCCAGCTGGCTCTTTCCTCTCCAGCTCTGACCCACTTTGGTTGGTTCAATCAAATCAATTTGCATCAACTTTGGATTTCAGAATCCCAGGCTGATTCTGCTCCTTTCTCCTGGGAAAATTTTGAGAAGATTCCTGAAGGCCATCAAGCAAGTGTGTCTCCTTACCTCCAACCTGACCACACATTCCTGCTGAGCCAAACTTGAGAAATGGAGAGAATGAGGGAAGTGAGAAAATCTAACTAGCTCTTCATTTACAAGGTAACAATGTACAAAAGACCTAATTATAGCACTTACTCATAAGCTGCTTTTATAAGTACTATGTTGACTTGATATCTCTTCCAAAGAAAATATTAGCTCCTTGTATATTATCTTCTCCCAATGGAAGTGCCTGGAGCTCAGGCATCTTTATCATCCTTTGTTTCTGCACAGCCTGGGCTGCTGCACAGGCATGAGACCAGCGCATGAATGCAATGCTCTGCAGTCACCATCCTGAAATAGTTCATCATCCCAAATCTGAATTCAGACTCTGGCAGCGAAGGCTGATGGGACAGGAGTAAGCCCAGAGAGTTTGAAACCTCCACCTAGAGCCTCCGGCTATCTGCTGCCTCCCCAGGACAGATTCTTGGATTTCTGGTGTTTGTCTCTGGTGCCTTCCCAGGGAGAGCTGGGGTCAGGCACACTCTCCATATGGTCTCAGGGCAGCCCATGCAACCCCTGGGCCAGTCAGGAGTACCAAATGGCATACCTGGGGCACTAAGGCAGGAGCACCATCCCCTACTCACTCTGAGGTGAGGATTTCCTACTTCACAAGAACTGACTATTGTTCGAAAGCAGAGGGAAGGTAGAAGTACCAAGTCCCTGACAGATTCCACTTAGAAAGACCACCTCCTCACCCCCTTCCCATGCGCAGCAAAGCAGATAAGTGTCCTTGGCATGTCCTTGAATGGCTGCAGCAAGAGAGAATTTCCTTCCTGCTAGACTAACTTAATGAGAAGGGGAGAAGAGAAAGAAGCTAAAAGTCCCTTGGCAGTTTATCGAGGACTCTGTGTGGGTATCCCCCACTCCCTGCAGAGAAGATCTATAACCAACCTAAACTCATTCTGTCAGTCAGGGGCCCAGAGAATTCTATCTTCCCTCCAAATGTCTCCATCAAGCAATACGCCTCCCTGGACAATATTCAGATGAGGACTATCACAAAAAAATGTTAGTGAGAAGCAAAAGCTGAAGATCTTTTACAAGAAAGTCCAAAATGTGATGAACTCTGACTGGGAATATTGATTTAGGGCCTGAAAGAAGCATTCCAAGGATATCCAGTGCTCAGCCCTTGGGAGAATCACAGTCCCATCACCAGTCTGCTGTTCATTCCTTACTAGGTTGGTTACCCCGCAAAACTGGCAGGAGAAAAAAAGCATGTGAAAGGTTTTGATCCTGGGTCAAGGGTCTCTGGGCATTTGTAATTGCTGTAGTGTGGACATCAGGTTGTCAAAGTGGTGTCCCAGCCCCACAGCATCTGCTTTATCTGGGAACCTGTGATTAATGCAGATGATCTGGAGGAGCTCCGTGTACCTTCGAAGTGCAAGAGACACACTGGTGGACTCCCAGCTGCTGGGACCAGTGATACTTAATCACAAGATGCCAGGGGAGAAGAAAGAGACCTGAGCACCCAGCAGCAGCTTTCGGGGAGTCAGCATTGACCAGAGCCCCCAGGGGCAATAGATGAGCCCTTGGGGAATTTCCAAGATGAGCCAGAAGGTCAGTGTTTCCAGGTGAAAGGCTGAAGATGGGAGGAGGAGAGGAATTGGTTGGAGCCTGGACTTTAAAGCTTGGTTC